AGTTATTTATAGAGTGGGGATGGCTCCATGAGACGATCGGCACCACGTTTCAGCCACACCTATCATTATACACGTACGCGGCTTCTGACCTGAGGAGTGAGAGGGCGACTATTACGATGGCCGCAAGGACAAAATCATCGCTGCCGACGTTCCACTGGTTCTCAAGCGACGTTCCTCGGCATGTCACTAGCGCTGGCATGGCGGCGTCGACAGCACCCGCTAAGGGAGTGGCTCGTTCAGCGTAACAACGTAAGTGTGTAGGCGTCACAAAACCACGAAAAAACCTCTTCCTGTCCAGTCGCTAATTAACCCTCGGCGCTCGACGCTAATATTCAGGCTACGTGGCGGCCTGTTACCGCCTGAAAATGAAAAGGGCGATTTTCCTGAAACGACTGCGTTCGAGAGATATGCCGTGAAAACAAGCGAAAAAGCCAATTTGCATAATCGCATTGGGCTTACCGCGACCTGATCCGCTTGCTCTTGAAGGCACAAGAAGTCACAACGAAGGGTGTGTATCGACTCCCGCATGCTATCACTAAGTACGGTACTTAGTATATAGGGATTACACAGGTCATCCTGCATTATGCCCATACATTGAGATTTTCTTGTTTCAAACAGATCCAACCTTTGACACATCAGATTGATCCGTATTATCCAAGAAATGGCTTAATTTCATGCGGTTTTATGGTTCAGAAATATACTTGATGTCTCACACAAAAAGGATGGTTGTTGAATTAATTATTATATGTCCGAAGATGAACTGCTATTTCTGATTTAGTAGTATTATATTATTATTGCAGACCACTGCATAGGGCCACGTGTGGGTGCCTGAGTGTAATATATAAGGTGCATGCAAATTAGCTACACCTGTATTTTGATGGAGGTTCAGTCACAGGAGGAATTTGTAAGGCACTTGCCAGGCACACCAATAGGCATGTAGCTATAGGCTGTTTGTTCACCCTGGGAAGAAGGTAGCCACAGGCATTCCCTACACCAGACAGTCTCATGTTACCACAAAACCTTTTGTTCCATGTTTTCATAGGCTATCATAAGTTATGTCCAAAGTCACAATCATGGAGGCAAAACCGTGTTTCTTGCTGGCTTGTGTTCTGGTCTCCTTTGGCTTTGCTGCGTGTCATGAGGTGCACAGCATTCCTTCTGCCATTATGAACTCTCAAGATGGCTCCACCTGCCCTTCCCGAGAGAGGTTGGGAGCTGTAAGAAACCTTCTGTCAAACAAGGTGCTAGCTATACTTGCTGACACTGAATTTGCCTGTAAGGGCACTGGATGGAAGAGAGTCGCCTTTTTGAACATGTCGGACCCCGACCAGACCTGCCCAGATGCATGGAGATTGTACGAAGATGGCTCAGTCAGGGCTTGCGGGAGGCTACAGAGCCCCTCAGGAACCTGCGATTCAGTCCGATTCAGCACGGGGGGTTTTGTGTACAGCGAGGTGTGTGGCAGGATAAGGGGGTACCAGTTTGCCAGTCCAGACACCAGTGGAGGGCCACACAACCCAAATGCACCAGAGGAAGACATAAACGGCCCGTACCTGGACGGAGTAAGCATCACTCACGGGAACCCTCGTCAGCACATCTGGTCACTATTTGGCAGTGTGGACATTGGAAGATGCTGCGGCGAAGGTCACACCAACACTGTCGATATACGCTACTTTATTGGAAACAATTCTTTTTGCGACAGTGGGAATCCGGACCACCAGCACTGGGTCGATACCTTTTTCACCGACCACCCTCTGTGGGATGGAGTTGCAAACTGTGCAAATAGTCCCTCGTGCTGCACTCTCCACCCAGGTCCCTGGTTTCACGCCACCCTCCCCTACATTTCAATGCAGGACATTGAGGTGAGGGTGTGTGGTGACCAGTCCACCGTTGACGAGGACACTCCAGTTGAGCTCATTGAAATCTATGTCAAATAAGCACACTTTACTTTAATTTCATGCGACATTATGGTTGAGAAAGTGTAGAGGACGGACCCAGCGTGCAACGACTTCCGGAAGCCGCACAAGTGACCCCCCACGCACATGTCACGCGCCATAGGCCACGTCCCCTAAACGGGAGGGGCTGCTAACTCAAACCCTTGTAAATCCACAGGCTATTTTTTGTATAACATCCAATGGTAAGCCGTGCGGCATCAGAATAGACACTTTTTTTACATCCTCTCCCAGACTCCTCTCGTTACCGTACAGCCAGAGGAATATGCCGCCAAAATCACCACTATTAGGTAGCTGCTCTCTGTGTTAGAATTATAATGTTGTATGTCAATGTCGCAACCGTGTGACTGTTCGTGTATGTGTGTGTGTTGGAAGTATTTGTGTTTGCTATTTATTGCAGAGAATCATTCATTAGTAATTTTGTACTAATACACACTTACATGCTAACATGCTAATGCTGCTAACCTGCAAAAAAGCATTGTTTGCCACATCGGTGCAGTTATATCACATGACACTACTATCGGTCGAAGTTGGAATGATGATCTTGAGTTTGGTTCCCCTGCGAGGCAGGACAGTCACCACCCTCTCTCCCGCCAGTCCGTGGTGACCACGAGACAGACGACGAAGGACTCCATCGCTGAGTCTCCTCCAGTTGCTGAGTCTTGAACTACGACATCTTCCCTGGTGGTGGCCGTTGGTTTCATCGATAGCAGGGAGATGGCAGTGTAGGGGGTGTCGGTGGGTTGTCTGGACCAGTGACTGGCAGTGTCTGGTGTACTGTAGACAGTGGAGGAGCTGCTCTGAGGGGCGTAGCTGGTGGATGTAGTAGTGGTGTCGGGATCTCTACCAACAGTGGTAGTGGGAAACACCCAGCCCTCTATGTTTAGAGATAGCGGTCAGAGATTGCATTAATACACTTCAGATCCAGACAGGCTCACTAAAACCTGTTTGAACATGAAGGTCTCTTTCTCCCCATCCCTACCAGAGTTTGCATTCGATTGGACTAACTTTTCCTTAACCTAAGTCAAGGTATACCTCTTTTCAAAAGATACGGTGTAGCTGGGCTCAATATAAAAGTTAGATGCTGAATTTGGGACCCACTAACTCTTTGTTCCATTGGGTTACGCCTAGCACTGACACTTCTAAATGGAGCCCCACCTCTTGCACTGCTGAGTGCTCTAGCCTTCCTCTTCTGGTTCATCTCTCTCCCAGGCCTCTTCTCGCAGTCTCTCCACCTCTGCCTCCCTGTAGCTCTGGCCCCAGAGACTGTCTCTTGAACCTCTGCAGAGCGGCCAGGACGTGGTTGGGGAGGTGGTCCTCCACGGCTCCTCTGTCTATGATTATCATACACAGGTCTTCGTTTTTCACCCTCTCCATCTCTAGCTGGTTCGGGTAGAAATACCCAAAGCAACTGCAGGGATAAAGTAAAATATAAATTTGGCAGTCAGTGTGTGTGGCACTACAATATCCAATTGCTATACTTTGGGAGCGAGGCGAGCAGTTCAATTTTGCAGTCAAGGCGAGTGATACATACATACATACGTACGTACATCCATAGGTACACACACATGTACATGCATACACTTATTATTACGTACGTACGTTTGTACATGTACATCTGGGTAATGGCTGACCAGGGAGAGGCAGTCTTGTTGACTTTGAGATGGAAGATCTTTCCCGGAGGAAATGTGGGCATAAACTGACCACACATGTTCTTGACGTGCCCCGTGATCTCTCGTTCAAACACATCTGGGTTGTCCGGGAGGTCCATGGACACCCGACGGCTTCTGCTGTAAGGGTGTGATTATGAATAAGATTTTTGCTGGCACCAGGATGCTTGCGTATAGTAGGAAACCTTTAGTAATAATTTCACAGAGGAAACTTGCCCCTATAATGATGTGCTTGTATTTCAACAACAAAGTCACGAGGCAATAACAGACAATCAACACAACTACACCCAGGCCAGAACACATTTCTCTAGCTGTGCTGAGTGGTAATCGAACCCGGGAGAGTCTGCAGTCCAGGCAGTCTACCTTACCTGACACTGGGAGCTGGGGTGCTGCTGGGAGCTGGGGTGCTGCTGGGGAGGAGGATGTGTGTTGGTGGGAACACTGCATTCTGAAGGCTCTCTCCAGTGGTGTTCTCTCCAACTATCAGACTCTCAAACCCCTCAGGAAGATGACAGGTGGTAGACAAGCTCCTCCATGGAGTGGCACAACTACCACCTCCACCTATACCACTGCACCACTTTGGTAGGAACAGCACGTTGAACTGAAGAAAAAAGCAAGTATTAATACGCAGAACCTCCGATTAGAGACTCTCTGAGATAGGGATGACCTCTCTATACAAACGAACCTTGTTTCAACCCCATGCTGATACTTTAGTGTACTATTTGACCTCCTAGATAGGGACCATCACTCTACAAGGGACAAAATCATTGGCCTCATAGCGTCCCTTTGTTTTGAGCTTCCACTTTACTGTAGTGATCGCAGTAGAGTTATATACACTACTATAGATGGAATTGTTACCTTTGGCTTATCACAGTGCTGCAGAAGGTGTTTTAGTGACTGCTTCAGATAAAGCAGAGAGCGAAATGACATCCTGCAGGCAATAATACACATTATAATACACACCAATAATTGAACATGAACTAACCTTGGTACTAAGTCGTTCCCAAGGACCACTGAAGTTGTGAATTTTCTTGAGTACACTGCAAGAGGGTAGCTGTAGAGCAAGAGAAAAACGTTCATCAAAATAATAATATGTTGTCCTTGTTAAGTTCTTGAGCCTATAGTACTTACGTGAGCTTGAAATGATAAGATAACATTGCACTGATTACCCACCCCAATCTCACAGATAAAACTACTTCGAATAGCAGAGCTACTGACATTATCACATATGTCAAGACACGAGACCTTACGTCACTATTACATCACTGTTTTCAGGTTTTTATTAGGGCAAAGGTCAGGGGTAAGATAACATATCATTCGCTTCCCCTCAAAAGTTTCTCTGAGACTATCAATGCAGGGGGTGTGGACTGTGGGTCACCTGAAGACGCAGCCAGGTGGGGAGAAGGCATAGCAGTGAAGATCGGGAAAGTCTTTCCGGAGCAGTAGAGCCAGGACACTGGTCACCCCAGCCCCCAGTGAGTGCCCCGTCACTATCAACTGGTAGTCCTGCAATGATAATGCAGCAGAGTCAACCTTGCCTTTCTACCTTGATACCAAGTTGTTGAGACATGCATATACTCGGTTTGGAGTTGGGCGTCTTTGGTGGTTTAATTACCCCGGTCTGCTCCTACATACTGAGTGAGAGTTTACTGTGCCATAGCACAGTGGTTTGAGGTTTGCCTTTGTGTTGTGTTGTGTTGTGTTGTAGATTCGAACCCCTACCAGCTGAGTTGCCCTGGTAGCTCAGTTGGTAGAGTGCTCGCCTAGACTGCAGAGTGTCGTGGGTTCAAATCCCACCCAGGGCAGCTCTTCTTGAAAAGAAAGAGCTGTACATGTCCTGGGTGTAGTTGACTTGTTTGCCTTGCCTTGCTCGATACCAAGTTGTTAAGACATACTTAGATGCATCAAGCAAGCGCACACCAACACAGAAGGTGTCTTGAAAAGTCAGTAGTTTTAATGCTTGCTCTTACAAGAGTCTAGAGTGGTCTTATCCTCCTTATCTGCCCGTATTTTGCATTCAAATTTCGGGTAAGTTTGACTTGGAGGTACTTCAGAACCTCCGTGATACGTACCTTGTAATGCTGGAAGATGTGTGGCAGGATTCTCTTCTCGCAGTCCAAGAGTCTGTCCACCTCCTCCTCAGTCGCGCTCCCCTGGGTCCTGATGGCCTCCAGTCTGATCTCCCGTCTACTCCTGCCCATCAGTCTCTTCCGGATCTCATCAGCTGCAGTGTACATTCCCTGCAGCGTATTGGCACATCGAGGAATAATATACCAACTGCAGAATACTTCTTCGAAATGAAGGGGATAACAAAATGGTGCAAAGGTTCAGCAAATGCGACATTTCTTCAAAATGAAAAGGGATATAGAAACTGGTGCAAAGTACCGGAGGAAATGGTACATGGAGGAAGAAAGTGCACCAAAGTGCGAAAACCATTGAAGTGGGATATAGAAAACAAAGTACCAAAGAGGAAAATCGAGGAAGAAAGTAAATACACAAAGTGCAAAAATCATTATATGAAGCGGGATATAGCTAGAAATGTCGCAAAGTAACAAAAAGAAAATGCCACTCTACATGATGCAACTGATTCAAGAGGAGCTGCTGACCATATGAACAAAAGTCCCGTTGACTCCATCAATGTCTACTGGCTGCATCGAGTAGGACATGTTTGTCAGTACATCCTACAGAACAGAGTATACGACAATAGCATCATCTTCCAGGTGCTCTGCACAGTTTTCGATTTTATTTGGGCACAAGACTAAAGAAGATTGATTCTGCTGTGTGTATAGCTCTGAATTCTCCTCTTTAAAAAGTAACTGTGGTTTAATGAATTACGGGGTGTAAATACAGGCCAGGTGCAGTTCAACTACACCTATAGGACAGCAAAGTTCCCCCATAGGTTTAATACTTACCTTGATGGAGAGGGTTCCACGGACACTCACAACCACAGACCTCATCTTCCTGTCCAGAACCACTGCAAATGGAGCCTTGAAGATCTATAATATTTATTGGTACATATGTTATGGTGCACAGCCTATACAATTATTAATAACTAGATAATTAATGGCACGCATTTTTGGCGAGCAAATATTGCACGCATGTTTAAAATTACACGGTGTCAGTGGCCCGGTAGTCAAGGTGACCGCACCAGAAGGGAGGCGGCCGAGTACAGTGTTCCCCTGGTTAAGCAAAGGATGATGAGCGCGCAGCAGGTGCTAGCGGTACACCCTCCAACCGCTCGGATTGCTCGGTGTAGGGGCAGTTTCCCGTGGCCAGGCGCCACCTCGCTAGCTTGGTGCAGTGCCCGTCACATAAATAATTATATAGAAATTCCTGCATTGTAACAACTAGGTAGGCTTGCTTCACTCGCCAATTATAATTATAATAGGCTTGAAATTCCTAAGCATTACCGACACATAGAGGAGAGGTTACATACAGGCTATAGGCTAGCATTAGAACCAAATAGAGTTTAAACATGTGGTGTAATGGGTCAGAGTTGGGTGGAAAGTTGTACATGGCTTCATGTAAGATGAGAATTAATCCCGGATTATTTGCCTCCTCGCTAGCACGATAAAGACAGACTGTGAGATAATTAACCTCATTGTCAGTGGAGAGGAATAGAATGTCGTCTCTCTCCACTCCAGTTTGAATGGTTATGGCCGCCGACTCACACCCACAGCACCCCTCTCCCTCCATTCTCCCACCATACCCCATACACCTACAACCACAACTGAGGGGGATATGCAACAGAGGGAATGCATATTGGTCGGTGGTCCAAGGGTGCAAAATTGGCCTAATCCTTCAGACTACTAAAGTTCTCTGCAACTAATAAACAGCTTGGTATACAGTCGAACCTCTGCACAAGACACGTATTCATTATTGATCACAGAAGTGTTTCCAAATTGCAACCCTCCCAAAGAAGGACAAACTCTTTGCAAGGGACAAAACGTTGATCGCCTGAAGTGTCCTTTGTTCAGAGTTGTATGGCTATGTAACCCAGTAATTGCTGCATCATCCAACTGAAGGTAAACACAAATACCATGTTCTGGAGGCTAGTTGGCAGAGGCCACAGGCCAAGTTAGAGAAGATGTGAAGAGGCCAGCCATACATCCCCATAGAGTGCTGCATGAAGTGGATCATGTTGTCCATCAGCAGATGGTTCTCCTGGACCAACGAGAGAATGCTTCAGAGTTTGTAAATGAAGATGCAGTATAGACACGCCAAGAGTGAAAAGACAAATAGTGACTTCCACTAAAAGTGAAGGCATTTCAACACGCCAAAGGTCACAGGTTGCAGTCAGTAAAACTTAACAGTCAGTGAGAAAGTTATCAGCCATTATTGGAACCAACACTAAACTGTAAACTATTTAGAATGTGGTGGTTTGTGTTAGTAAAAAGTGACTGGTTTGTCTGTCACATCTTTACATAGTGGTGATGGAAGTTTGTCACTCACGGGTTTATCATTGTGGAAAGGACAAGGAGACTTGTAGACGTAGTGAGGTTTCTGGTTGACTGGCATTCGATCAAACGTCACCTGCAAATGTGCAAAAAAACCGCAACGGTGAAGGTATGGACACTTGGAGGGTGAAACCTAATCCTTAGTAATGTAAGTGAAAAGCTCATGCATTCCCAGACTGTTTTGTGTCATACACATACCTTCCTGAACTTGTCTTCAAGTCTCTCTCCCTCTGCCAGTCTGTTGGTCTTGCCCCGCTGATACTGACTGACCAGCTTGAACCCAGCTATCACGTCACTCAACACCAGCCTCACCCCCTCCCCTCCCTCCTCCCCCTCGTCAAAGTCAAACAGGGTGTACAGTGCCCGAGCAACATCCTCCAAAGCCACACCCCTCGATCTTTGACCTCCGACTCCGAGACAACACAAGAAGACGCGTAGTCGACGCTGGATTCTCCGGAGTCCAATGTAGTTTGTGCGGAAACGTGATGCCTGTTGGCTGATTTCGTCGAGGGTATACCCGCCGCGGACAGTCTGGGTGATGCTCACCTGGCGCTGCCAGAAACGAACCACATTTGGGGTTCTTCTCTGTTTGCGACTGAGTCTCGCTTCAGGTGAAGTGGGGGATTGGACTGGAGACAGCTGTAGTTGACTCTCTCTTCTAGCAGACGATGGCCTTTTGAACCGGAGAAACTGTGGAAAGTAGGAAGGGGACTGGGGTGGCTGTGGCAGTTCTCCGACATCGTCGGCCGTATCGAGGAAGCTGAGGTGTTGGAGAAGGCCTGGCGTGAACAACCCACAGGGATCCAGGAAGAGAAGAAGTCTGACTGTCGAACCGAGAAACTTTAGCAGAACAACCACACACGACACCGTGGCGAGTGCTACAGCGACACGATACGAGCTGCAGTCGAGCGGCTCAATCAGATTCGGGTCAAAGGTAGCCACAGAGCACGAGATAACGGAGAGAAACTCCAGGACCATTAGAACCAGACGCACGTAGATATACTTTGGGATTTGTGAGTCTCTCTTTGCAGTTTCCCATATGCGACCTCGGTAGCTTATGGACATGATTACTGCCTCATCAATGACTATACCTATTTCTACTGCCACCAGCAGAAAGAGTGACCAGTAGAGAAGAGGGGGGAGACCCTGGTCATTAGGGCATCCAGGAGAGAGGTAGAGAGCCGCCAGAGCTGCCATCACTAATATGGAGCTGTGTAGTAAAGAATCAGTTAGAGCTCGTGGGAACCCATAGCTAGCTAATGCTAGGCTGAGCTGAGCACATCTATACGAGCAGTTGATTAACCAGGCTCGATTCACTGATTTGACTGAAGACTACTGCCACAACTCATAGTCTCGTGGAGCCAGCCCCTTCAAGTTATTAACCCTCGGTGCGCATGCGCAGCGAGGGTTACAGTAGTCGTTCTGTTTGTCTGTCTGTCTGTCCATCTGTCCGCGCGAGTTCTCGCACTACAGGCTACGAGGCGGCCAATGAGTGGCACCAACGGGTTGTGAACAACGAGAAGATTAATAATAATGTGGCGATTTTCCTGAAACGACTGCATTCCAGAGATATGGCGTGAAAACAAGCGAAAAAGCCAACGCGCAGTCGATCGCGCACGCGCCCTCTCCTGCAGGCTAGCTATATAGTGCGCACGCGTCATGTCAATTAATCGCCGGAGCATGCGCTACGCCACGTTGGTTGTATATACGATCCACGGCCTCCTGTCAGTTTTGATCTCTGTTCCCTATGGATAAACGATAAAAATGCTGAGCAAGGTATGTTCGCAATGTAGCATAATAGTTCAGGTGGCGAGCAGTTTGTGGTTGCGGTCTTGCCTTCCCATCTATAAAACGTCTGGCGAGAGCATTGAAACACAGAAGAGCGGATAGATTGAACAAAGCAAATATGAGAGTCTCTGAAACACCTGAGCTATTGCTCTAACCGCTAATGCAACTACCCTGTGTTACGGTGAGACTCGTGTTACTCGCTCCGTCGGTGACGCACGGCCCAGCATACAGCGATGCTACAACTCGCTAGTTTACTGCAGAGGGTTTGCACTTTAGTGCTTTTCATTTATAGAGTGGGGATGGCTCCATGAGACGATCGGCACCACGTTTCAGTCACACCTATTATTGGCGAGCGGGAGCGAGCCAACCTAGTCGTTCGTTCGAGCATATTATGTAGATGCTCCACGGCACTGCACATACCGAAAGGTTTTATGTGATTCTAAATACGTGAAACGGCAACCGATGCCATCATTTGACTTGTCTTTTTATTTTTTAATTAATTAAATTTCGCAATCGTCTCTATAATAATAAGTTAGCTACGCTTACATCCGCCGCGTGGTTGGCCTGCCCGATCGATCACTGCCTAGCCTACTGCCATGCCAGCTGCCTGGTGGACCACCGACACGCGAGCTGAAAGCGTAAGGTAGTAGCTACCATTTTGCTCACTTGAGTCACAGTTCTGGCAATATATATCGAGGGGTACGACACAGGTGGATATCTCGTACGCTTATGGTGATATCCATAGAAATCAGTTGGAAATCAAGGGAAATCAGCGAAAAATCAAAAATAAAAGTTGCCGTGCGCACGCCGCTTTTCTGCTCCGCATAGAGCTGTTCTGCGATCCGTTGACTGTATAATATATTATAGCAAACACCGCAAGGCCGCCGATCCTGCTGCGGCGCGCGCACACTCGTTCCGGCTGGCCGGCCACACCCTCGAGAGACCGAGAAATCAATAGAAATCACTGGATATCAGTTGGAAATCACGAGGAAATCTGGAAATCAGAAATCTCGTATGCCATAACGGTCCGTGTCGGACCCCTCGATATTTGTCATGGTTCACGAATGCGCTGACGGCACGTTGTGCAGCTCGTACATCGCGGGCAAATCCCATGTTGGGTCGCTCCCGCTCGCCAACCAACAATGTTCAACATTCTTCTAGTACAGTTTACACGCGGCTTCTGACTGACCTGAGGAGTGAGAGGGCGACTACTACGATGGCCGAAAGGACAAAATCATCGCTGCCGACGTTCCACTGCGCCTCAAGCGACGTTCCTCGGCATGTCACTAGCGCTGGCATGGCGGCGTCGACTGCACCCTACTTTCCGCGTATGGGAGTGGCTCGTTCAGTGTAACAACGTAAGTGTGCGGAAGCGCTTAGAAGGTTTGCAAAAAGTCGCAAATACAACCGCAGTGTACGTAGACGTAATGAGGAAGACGGTGTATGTTTGCCAAGCCACAGGATCTAGGAGGTTGTGCACGCGCGTCATCGCATCACGTGCGCCTTAGATACGTACGTCTGTCAACCCGCTGAGTCAGCACTTCCTGCAGAACGGCACACTGGCGTTGCAAGGCTACGGGTGTTCTCCGTGGTACACACTTGGACATTATGAACAATCGATAGATAGCAAGGTCTTGGCCCGCCTAAACACCAGCCAGAGCCACTTCCTTTCGCAGCTACGATACTTGATTAAATTATAACCGCATGCGCGGACAGCTTAGGAATGTTGATTGTGCGCAATCTCCTCTGCCAGCCAGTGATGGATTCCTGGGCTGCCATGTCTCAACACGTAGAAGATCCTGTGGGATTGGTAGCTAGATTTTTGTACACCCTTGTCAGACAGAATTCTCGCGCATGCGCACGCGTGCTTCACCGTTTTATGCCACTTGAAGTTACCCTCGGCGCGCATGCGCAGCGAGGGTACGGTAGTTGGTTTGTGTCTCTCTGCATCTCACTTCTCGAATGTTTGTTCGCCTCACAAAGAATACAACCTACTTAACGGGCAATGAAGGTCAGAAAATTTGTGCGGTTTTCTCTGAAAATGCTCCGTTGCAAAGCTAGAGCGCGAAAAAGCCAATATGCAAATACATGGGATGGCTTACCACGGTCTGGTCTCGGAAGCACCAGAAGATGCAACGCAGGGCGTGTATCGCCTCTCGCATGCTATCTAGTAGCCCGCTGCGCGAGCTGAAGAGACCACGAGTAACAAAACCCAGCCCATATAATTATTAGTGGTACGGCACATGCGTTTACTTACGCGTGCGCGTCACAGTGCGCCGAGGGTTTGCACTCTCCCCGGTTTCCCACAAGAAGTTGCAACCTGTTCAATCCATGACTGCTCAGCTCATCACAAAGCTATACTCATTCACTTGTATCAACTCTGGAATCTTGTTCCCTTCTCTGCTTCCCTTCCTGTGCCTCCTCTTGTGCTTCTCTCCCTAAACTACCTGGTTGGAAAGATGGTACTGGCAAGCTCCGGGAGATGTCCGTTTTTTGGCATAGGGTTTGGGTAGAGGCTGGCTGTCCTTCAGCTGGTGTACTTTTCAACATCAAGCGTAATTCTAAGAAGAGGTTCAAGTATGCCGTTCGCCGTCTAAAGCGCAGAAAAGAGTTTCTTATCCGTGAGAAGTTTGCCTGTGCCTTTGCTGCAAGGAAGAAAGATAAGTTCTGGTCTGAGGTTAGGCGGTTAAATCACGTCAAGAAGTCTTGTGCACCGAGCGTAGACGGTACATCAAATGCCCAACACATTGCAGATTTATTTTCATCTAGGTTTTCAGGTGTTCTAAATAAACATTCATCTCCTTCTTCTAATCCCTTACTTCTAAAGATTCAATCTTCACTCTCTTCTTCTGTGTCTGACGATCTATGTTTTACGGAAGATGACATTATTGATGCTATTGGTCAGCTAAAGTCGAAAAAGTCTGGTGCTGGCTATGTCATCTCTGAACACCTAAAGCTATCCCGCTCTGTAATTGCCTTACCGCTCTCGCAGCTCTTTACCTCAATTGTCCGTCATGGGTATATGCCACCACTATTGCGGGATTCGATTCTTGTTCCCGTCCCAAAGAGCAACAAAGATACATCTGTGAGTTCCAACTATCGTCCCATTGCTCTTTCCTCTACATTGAGCAAGGTTCTGGAGTGGCTGATTCTTCATAAATATTCTGAGTTCTTTACCAGTAGTCACCTGCAGTTTGGCTTCAAGTCCCACAGCTCTACATCTCTTTGTACGGGCATGGTTAAGAATGTTGTATCACGCTACATCAACAATGGTTCTTATGTTTATGGTTGTTTTTTAGATGCTTCTAAGGCCTTCGATCTTGTTGATCATAACATATTATTTCGTAAACTCCTAGAGCGTGGCCTTCCACTGCTCGTTGTTCGTTTCTTGTTGTCTTGGTATAGCTCTCAAGAATGTCGTGTTCGTTGGGGTTCCTGTCTCTCTGATTCGTTTAGGGTTTCTAATGGAGTTCGTCAGGGAAGTGTTCTCTCTCCTCTTCTTTTTGCTGTGTATCTGGATGGTTTGTTGTCTGAATTGGTTGAAAGTGGTGTTGGTTGTTATTGGAAAATATTTGTTTGCTGGGTGTTTATGTTACGCTGATGACATTGTTTTACTCGCTCCTTGTCCCTCTGCTCTAAGAATCATGTTGAACATTTGCTGTAACTATGCCTCCTGTCATGGTCTGGAGTTCAACACCACCAAGTCACAATTAATCTGCTTTCGGCGTTCTCCGCGACAAGAATACCCTGTATCGATATACATGAATGGTAACCAACTGCAATTCTCTGACAAAGTATCTCATCTCGGCCACATTCTTACCTTCAACCTGCGAGACAAAGACGACATCATAAGAGCCACCAAAGATTTGAATCGCAAAGCCAACTACGTTCTCAGTTCCTTTAAATGTGTCAATCCATCTGTCAAAAGTTTTCTTTTAAAATCATTCTGTTTATCCCTGTACGGTTGCGTTCTCTGGTCTCTCTCCACTCCTGATATAAATATAATTCAAGTGGCACTAAACCATCACCTACGGCGGATCTGGAAGTTGCCTCGCAACTCTCACACAGCTGTTTGTCATTGCCTCGGTCAGGTTCCTGCCATCAGAAACATCCTCCTCAAGCGTTTCATGTCATTTCGCACATCTGCTCTCTCCTCATCTTCTCCCCTTGTTGTATCGGTGTATTCTGACTCCTGTTATCTTTCTTATACCTTCACAGGCTACAACAATATATATGGTTATCAACATGTAAAATTTTATTCTGATCAAGATGTATTGTCTGCTGTTAATATTCAGTTTATTCGTCAATATTTTGGTTTTCATTCACCCTTTGAATCTGTTGTTTACGAAATCTCAACCTCATGATTACTCTTTTATTACGTTATCAGAGCAGAGCAGGCCAGTGGTCGGTCCAGGAGCCCGTAAGCCCTCGGTTGGCGAAGGGATAGAGTCCAGAAGGCCACTGGTCTGCTCTATCTCCCTATCACTCTCCTACTCACATCATCTTCTTTTTCTATGTTGTATGTCTTTGCACCTGTGGTGGTGTGTATATATATCAATCAATTATTTTAATTATTCATTAAATTTTCATGCTTAACTCCTTCTTATTTCATCATCTCTTCTTCCTTTTTTGTGCCTTATTATTGGCATGTGATAATAATAGCTAGTTGCTGAGACTAAGCTACTCTGTCTCCTGGCTACTACTTGCTGAAGTTGAAAGTGGCAAGAGCAGCTCGCGTCTCTCCGAAGATATCGAAGCCTGTCTCCAACGCGCGTTTAGCCATGCGTTGCCATCGCTCTTTGGAGCAAAGCGGGAGTGGGAGTGGCTGGCAACTTGGCTGTTGGGCGGGGTCTTGTGAGGACTCGTAGTCGTCGCTCGCTGCTAGGAGAAGAGACTCAGGCTCAGCCTCATCTTTGTCTGGTTCTTCAAGCCAGTCGCGGATACGAAGATATCGAAGCCTGTCGCCATTTCTCCGACGCGCGTTTGGTTTGCGTTACCATAGCTCTAAACCGGTTAGACGCCTCGTCGTGGAAATTACGCGCATTAGAGCGCCTTGGGGGCTCTTAGATCCCCGGTAATTTGAAATCGCGCAATTTCATTGGTCCAAACGCGGGATCTAATATCAGTAGATCCCGCTGCCCCGGCGGACGGGATCTATTGGGGAGCGAGCGTGAAGACGCGATTGGTAAGAGACTCGAGCGAGGTTTCAGCCACCAGCGGTGAGCCAGAAATGGTAGGCGGAAGCTACAGCACGTCGCTCGTCCTCCGCTGCGCTTCGCGGAAAAGGGCTCCGCCCACTCTACGCGCACGTATCTGCGGAGCGTTCGAGGATTGAGCGCTCTGGCTTTCCTGTTCGTTCGCATGGCGGAGCGCTTCTAACGATGACTCGATGGAGGCAGGCTCAGAGCGCCAGAAAATGCAGTGCACGAAGAGCGAAGCGGCAGACACGTACGCGGTAGCGACTTCGCCTTTTTCTGGTTGTGCGCGTGACGGTCTGCGTGCAGGGGGGTCTGCGCGTGCGCGTGGACGACGCGTCAAGTTTTCTGTAGGTTTTGTAATTCACTAGAGTGAGCTAGGTTCGAATTGACCAATCAGATTGCAACGGCGAGGTTTACTAAATCCCGCAGTAAACCTAACCTACAGAAACTACAAAACCAACAAGAAAACTTAACACAATGATGAATGTACATTGATGTGTCGTCCACGCGCACGCGTAGACCGTCACGCGCACAACCAGGAAAAGAAGGCAGAGTCGCTACCGTACCGCGTGTCTCTGCCGCTTCGCTCTTCTTGCACTGCATTTTCTGGCGCTCTGATCCTGTCTCCATCGAGTTATCGTTAGAAGCGCTCCGCTATACGAACGAACAGGAAAGCCAGAGTGCTCAACGAGAAGCGCTCACTCTACAATACTGATTCCTCGGTAACCATGCGCCAGTAGATAGCCTCGTGCCCCGGCGCTCGGGGCGCCACAATGCCCGGGGTCTCGGCTTTCTACTGCGCGTAGTTACCTCGAATCAGCGTCTAACGATTATATAGACATACACTCAATCCTCAGAACTGCCACATCGCCTTCGAGTAGCAACTGAGAGAAGAACTGTTTAGTCGAAGAATTCGTAAGAAAAACAATCCTCTTACTCTTTCTTTGGCGTCGTGGAAATCATCTATCTCGTCCCGGAAGAAATTGTCTTCGTGCTGGACATTTGGCTCGTCATGACGTCAAGTAGCTACGGACTTACTATGTTGACCAGGCTTTGATCGCGTTGTGTCGGGTCGTCCTCTTTGTCCTCCGCGGCCTGTTTTCTGACCGCCCCGCGAACGCGCTGGAGTCTCCTGAGGGCAACAAAGAAACGTAATGAACGAACCGATGAACCAGACACTCGTGTTGCTTCTTCACCTAGCATGTCGACCCATTCACATTCAACCGGCCCGCGCCCACGTGTGTAGCTACACCTTTGACCTCACGTGCACGTGAACTGCGAAAAACATTTTCCTTCATTTCACAATCACATACTAATGGTGGCTGTTTTTTCTCAACGACTAAACTACAATGAAGAGGTTATTATCTTTGCGGTTACACAACTTCTTTGAAGTTGGCATAAGTCTCGAAACTGTCCATGTAGGTGGTGACCACGTCATGGCAGAGGGCGTAGTGAGCCTGTAGAAGACAAATAGCTATCATTCATACCTGTGACAGTACATAAGAGCTAAAATATTACTACTAAAGTTGATAGGAGCAATGCAATTTCTGTAACAGTTTTGTTTCTAAATTTAACTGCCACACTCCCTTCAATGTAATAAGGGGAAGGCCGTACAGCATCTGGGACGAGGCCTGCTCGTTGGATGCGAGCGGATTTTGCAGCCTGGAAGAAATCGACCACGCCCTCAGTCTTGAGTCTCTCCAGTTGGGAGTGGATACAGATGAACGTCCCCGTCCTTCCTACTCCATCACTGCAGTGAGGGAGAAATCGACAGAACACTCCCATGCTCCTTTGTGTTGTGTTGTGTTGATGATTCGAACCCCTACCAGCTGAGTTGCCCTGGTAGCTCAGTTGGTAGAGTGCTCGCCTAGACTGCAGAGTGACATGGGTTCGAATCCCACCCAGGGCAGTTCTTCTTCTTAGAGCTGTCCTGGGTGTAGTTGACTTGCTTTCCTTGCCTTGCCTTTCTGCCTCCCTCCCAACTTATTGAGACATGCTAGGCCTGCTCTCTAGCTATGCATACGTCTGAATGAGTTTAGGAACACCAATTTTTCCTTTGTAAAAGTATGTACAGTATATAGTGTTAGTGTATTAGCGATGCACAACCAAGTGTCAGGTCAAAGGGTCATAACTAGTGGTGGAGCGAAAAAGCTAATGCTGCTGACCTGCACATGACAACAGTGTGTCTGCCGGGGCTGCCCCTCTGTGCCTTAGTGAGCAGGTCCACCAGAGACAAGATGGCCGTGGGGTGAGGCAGCTCTCCGGGAGGCCAGCTGCTCAGCTGCATGAGACTCACAGCAGTCCTCTGAACCCCGCCCCTCCCCTCCGTGTCCTCCACTTCCAGCTTCCTCTCAATTATGTCACCGTGATGGCTCACTCTCTTCACCCTCACCCTTAGCTTCCCGTACACCGCTTCTTCTTTCTCCCCTTCTGGCCAGAAACAATGACTGCTCACCTATCAGAGAAAAAAGAGAGACTGAACAAGATCAATAGCTACAGGTCAAAATTGGTTCTATATAAGGCCTATAGAAGTAAATAACAGCAGCGCTTCACTGCCACATGTCACCCAGTGGCTTGAGCACCTGACCGACTTGGCTCCTGGTTTTTTCTCTTTCATCATAAACTTTCAGACAAATCAGGGGTTTTGCTCTCTCAGCAAGGAGTAAAAGGATCGAGGGAACTCACTTGTCCCTTCTCCTGTGTCTGACAGAGCATGACGATGCAGCTGCAGTTGTGTTCCCAGATCATCCTCCATAGATCAGCCACTGTCCCTTCCATCGGTCCCTGGGTGGCTATGTAGGCCTTCCGCTGTTTATACCCCTGCAGTAAGTCAAGGGTAATCCAAGCATGATTAAGATACAGAGAGAATGAAAAAAAAAACTTCTGCCAAGGGTAGGCTCACACATACTGAAAAGGATGTGCTATAGTTGAGCTGAAAACACTTCCCTTTCCCCCAAACCTGTTTCTTGCACGCAATTCAACCCCTGTTTAGTTTTTGTCCTGATTATAAGTAAAACAACTTCACGTATATAGATGATCCAATTGCCACAGTAACAACTTGACTACCACCAAAGGGAGCATGTACTGAATATAAACCTTAATCTCTTTACTCTAGGTCCAAGGTGTATGCATAACCGTGTGTGTGTGTGTGTGTGTGTGTTTCATACGTACGTCAATGAATGATGCATTGATATAGTCGGAACCTGGTTTGGGACCAAACCACAGCCTCACACGACCCAACTCATCTGAAAGTGAAAGAAAGAACAACTCTCTAATTTACAAACCATGAGATTGAGCGTTGGGAATGAAATGCTCCAAAACGAAAGTTTACTTCCTTCTGAAAGGCCTTTAGAGCGGTAGGAGGAACATAAGAGTAAACCATAATAGAGAAAATCTGTTCACCCTAAAAGCGGTCTAGGTTGTTAACACGCTAATGGGGTGGCATGGGAGAGCTACCATCAACGGTACCAGCAGATGGATTATTGCTTTCAGAAGATGTGGACAAACGTTTATCATAGGTTTACAGTAAGGGATGAGGGTCAAAACGCACATAGGATAATGTGTTTACAGTGAAAGGAAAGTGTTTACACTTACTCGGTAGCTTGTCAGGGAACCTGTTTTTCCCTGCATTGTACTTGGCCTTTGCCTCCTGGTAAGAGGCCTCGCACTGAGAGCTAACTTCCTCCAAGGTCTACACAATCAGTAACAAGACAGAACTCATGTTTACTGGGTTAGACAACCTAAATGGTTCACACTCTTTCTAAAACACTACACTGAGTATAGCATCAGTACTCAATAAAATCTGCCTCGCTCCTTACATAATATTCGTATGAATGTAGCTATGCTGAGAATAGTCAGAATCGAGAAAGAGATAAAAAGAAGCAAAGTGTAGTCACACGCAAGGCTGGTATTATAGTGCCACACCTGCATAGCTACATTACTGATGTGTCAACTCTGAGGATATTACCTCAAACTGTTTCTGGAAGCCAATGACACCAGATGGGTCACCAGGTACTGGTTTCTGAAGCTGGATCATCCTGATCCTGATATTACCAGCGGCCACATCGGTTTTTCCACACACCACGAGTTCACTCAGGGAATCATGGATGAAGACGTACTGAGCCTGCAGTGAGAGGAGGGGAAAGAGAGATGGAGAGAGAACGTAGAATGGGACAAATAGTAGGGAGTGAAGTAGTGGATAGTAAACTGAGAAAGAGACAGAAAGACTGGGAGAAGGGAGAAAAACCAAAGGAAAGTCTAGACCCACAAGAATATCCGTTTTCACTTCCATACATTTGTACATTGGAAGCAACCATACCTGGGTCTGAACCAGCTTCATTCTCTGAGTCCTCATATTCTTGAGGTGTTGGAAGACACTCAGTGTCCCCTCTCGCTTCATCTGCTGCATAGCCACGTCCAGGAGGATGAAAGTACCAGTCCTCCCCACCCCGGCACTGCAGTGGACCAGGAGGGGTGTGGTCAGGGAGGCCGGGTGCTCCTTGCGGACACGATGGATGAAGGAGATGAGGGACATGGCATTGAGAGGGACTCCGTGATCAGGCCAGGCTGTGTAGAGCAGTGGGTGACGTCCTCTCGTGTCTGGGTCAGACTCTGCGGAGATTAAAGCTAACAAGACAAGAATAGGGCCTAGGTGTAGTGTGCGCCAATGAAATAAATAGTCTGAGATAACCCAGTGAGGAAAGCTGTCCATGCCAGGGCTTCCACACTTACATTACTCATGCAGCAACATTTGGGACAATGGCTGCACTATTTCACAATGCTTGCCTATTTTTTGGTGTACAAAAGTGCGATGTAAATATAGGGAGTTCATTGTGATATAGACTCACTGATTTGAGCTGTATCTTTCTGATCAGATACTCAGCAGAGGGCACCAATGAGGTAACAGTGATGTCAAACTTTCCACGTGTAACTGAAGTGTTGGTCTGATCTGGCCAATACTGCATGCATTTCTCCTGAGAGGGACCATAGTTAAATCACAGTATAATTCAATAAAATGTGCCCAGATCTAGGGACCAAATTTTTGTTTCACTTTAGCCGAAATAGGCATTTTACTGTAATTACGTTTTGCTGTGTACTAACGAGTGGGTGAGCTGAAAATCAGAGTGAGTAGATGTGACCCCCACGTATGCCGGTATAAAGATGTGGAAAACGGAGAAGATAGAAACAGACCTGTGCCGTCCTCAACGCAGCGAGTGAGCATGACAATGAGTAGGGATCTGATAGTCCCACACCATCTCCCAGAATCTGTTGGCTGTCAGCTCCGTCGGACCTACGTGAGGCAGCGTCAAAGAGGATGGCAAGAAACAGAAAAAGTAAGAAGGAGTAACTTAAATAATGTAAGTGTAAGGGTAGAATGGGTAGCGTTAGTAATGTAAGTAAAAGAGAATGTAGTAAGGCTAATATGAAAGAAAAAGAAGTAAGGCTCAGTAAAAGAGAAAGGAATAAGGCTAGTGAAAGAGCAAAAGTGTGGCGAAAGTGTCACCTTGTGAGGCAATGTAAGCTTTCTTCTTCTCTGGGTAGCCCTGTGGAATGGTGAGACATTGCATTTGTGGGACCACAGTGCTATCAGAGTCTCATTGTCTCGTTTTCAGTTATGGTTGGGTTCTCATTGTACTGGTTGACCAGCATGTCAACCATCAACAAGTTTTATGTTCACACCTATGCTCTCATCCATATAGACCCCCATCCTGTTGTGTGAACTGTTCAGGCAGTTTCTATGAAGCTGTCTGTAGGTAACTTTAGGCAGTTTTCTTTGAAAGTCATTCAGGCAGTTTTATAGCCACATAGTTGTATAGTGCTAATAGCCACTCTCTGCTGCATACATAGTAGAGGGCTGTATGAAGTTGTGCTCACATCAATGAATGAAGCATTGATGTAGTCAGAGCCCTCCACTGCTGGATTTCCCTTCAACTGGACCCTACTGTGATCATCTGCAGTGGAATGTAAGTCATTAGAGTACTAACGACCAGGGGTTTACTCACAGGGGAAGATGTTTCTGAATCTATTGTGACTGATGTTGCAGGCGAGTTTTGCAGCTTCCGTAGATGCCGCAGGAAGCTTTTCCAATGACTATAACACACACAACGCACACACACAGACATGCACAGCACTAGAGCATACTGAAAGATTACATTGAAAGTTTAGTCAAACCTTGTACTCGACCTCCAGCTTGCGATCTCTATCTTGATGCAACAATTTCACATATTCTGGGAACTCAGCCACGGGGACATCACTGCGAGAAACCACTACAAAAATGATAGTTTGACACACACTATTAAATTTCACTTTCGTTATAATTATTGCCTATGTTGGATGGATCTTCAAAGTAGTATTCTTTCTCTTCCTCATTGCTTTCCTCAAAATCTTTCATCTCCAGTCCATTACTCCCTCCCTTCCCTCTCTCTCTTCAATGGTTTGGAGGTGCAGTGGTTTGGATTTCACTTTCACTGATCCTCTGTGACTTCTCTCCAACTGGTTATGGACACAAACAATAGTGCTGTAAA